TTGAATAATTAATAGGTGAGACATTGAGTCAACTTATTGATTACTCGAGGATATGGTGGAGTGTATCCAACTATCCTATCATTTGCAAAAATGTTATTAGTTTTGATTATAAAAAATGTTTGATTATGATCTATGTTTATGATTTTATTTACAAGATTATGTACAAATTAAAGAGTTAATTAAAACAAAAACAAAAACAAACCTAATATTTTTGTATTTTTGATTTTACGTTAATCGACTAATTAAAATAATTAGATCAAATGATAAAAATCAAATAGAATAATAAAATAACTATATGTATGCTAAAACTAGTGTGGGCAACTGACAAAAGAGTGCAACAATAAATTTCTTCAAGATAACTAAACTTTACTTTTATATTTTAATATAAAATACAAAATGCAATATAAAAAACAATAAATTTATTCATATTTATCATAATAGGCCGGCCTGTTAGGCTTTAAAGGCTTTTTTAGGGCCTACGACCTATCCTATTTAAAAAAAAGCTTAGTCTGGCCTTGGCCTATGTAGGGTAGGTTGTAAGCCTCTGTTAGTCGGTCTTGCCTATTCCCACCCCTAATGGCGTGGATGGTGGTTGAAGCGGAGGTTGGGATGAAGCAAGGGAGGTTGTGGTTGTGAGGCATGACGAACACAATGTTTTTCCGTGATTTATGGGTGTGTTTCAAAGCTAGCACGGAAACGTGAAGTAGGTTTGTTGCGGATTCACGGTGGAGGTGGTGAAGGACCGTCAGACGTTCTCACAGTGGACTTCCTTTTCCTTGTTTTCCCTTTTTTGTTCTCTGTTTTGGCGTGTGTATTGGTTTGTGTTGTCTTTGTTAGTTAAGCTTGAGATTGTGCAACACAAAAATCATTGGCATGAGAAATAGCATGACATACATATGATGAGTAGAAATTACAACAGAATAAAATTATGTGAGTAGTATTCATCTTTTAAAATCTATGAAAATAATTCAAGGGTTGGTTTGTTAGTGCAGGGATTATGGTGTTATGATATTTAGTTTGTTTTGGATTTTGAAAGAATAAATATTGGCATGGTGATGGTTTAGAGGTTTGCGGTGAATATTGAAATATTTGAAATTGTTAGTGTGTTACTGTAAAAAAGATTAGTGAAAACATAGACGATAAGGATGATGGTTAAAAAAGTACTTTTGTAAAAAAGTAGTTTTTTCGTACGATGAAAAGTTTGACCAAACAAGATCTCAAGAAATTTTGAGAGAATATGTGTGTTAATATGTACAAATGATTATATATAATGCATAAAAAACCTAATTTTTGTAAATAATAAAAAAAACCATCAAACAGTTATTATCATATGGTAAAAATAAAATAAAGAAAAGGTTTTGCGAAAAAAATATTGTTTTAGAGTGAAAGTAAAAAATGGTTGATTCAAAGATAAAAAAACAAACCATCAATGTTTAAACAGTAAATAAATTAAAATTACAAATAAAAGGGAGACATCATATGGAAATCATTGGCCAAAGAAAAGAAAGAGATTTTGAAAAAAGTGTGTGAAAGTGAAAGTTGAAAATGAAGTGCGAGTAAGAAATTGTAAAATTGTGGATGTTTTTGTGTGTGTTAGTGGGATTGTGAAAGATTGTGGATGTTTTAAAAGCATGAAAAGTATGTCATATTTATAGATGAATTCTAGGGTTTGCAATTAAGTCTAATCCATCTATTTTAGACAATATTTTTAGAGATTGTGATCTAATTCAAGTCTTGTTGAGCAAGACAATGAATCTGAAAGAAAATGTTACCAGGTGCAGGATTTGATATGGAGAGTGTGTGATTTGGAAGAATGTCTTTTCTATTTTTCGATTTTTTTATATTTAGTGCATAAAAATAAATATTTAAAAAAATAATAATTTTTAAAATATCCCTAAAATAGAAAATGAAAATAATAATTAAATAATAAAAATACTATATTGTTTTTGTGATTTTTGGATAAAAATAAATAAAAAGGTTAGTAGCAAATAAAAGGGAAAAAATGAAAAAGTGATAAAGGTGGAATTTGAACTCATGACCTTATACACTCACAACTCCCCACATATGCTCTGTCAATTATGCTACTCCATTCTTTTGAAATTAAAAGGCATTAAAAGACAAATATCATCAGAAACACCATTGCACTCACCAAAAGAACTATTGTGACAGTTTCTAAAGAAACATCAGCAATTCTAAGGAATGATGAATGTTCATCAGAAAGGGAATCAAATGTGTTCTCAGAAAAGTGTTGCTCTCTGATCAGAAATCACATATGTTTCCAGAGAAAGAGATTTTGATCAGAAACCAGAATATCAGAAAATCAGATGTACTGACATAAGCTTCTGCTTTAGAAATCAGACATCAGACATGCAACTCAGAAAAGCTGTTATCAGAAATCAAGATCAGATCAAGACATAGTGGATCAGAAAAGCTTTAACTCACAAATAAAAAAGTTGTTCCTCAGATGAGCTATTGCTTGTATATCTGAAGACAGTGTTCAAATGTCTGAAAGACTCTGGCTCTACAATAAAGAAGCATCTTTTGGATTACTATCATTCATCATACCATAATCAATCTAGCAAAGATGAAAGGAACACGAATCAAAAAGAGATATCTTCCAAGCTCACTACTTCAAGCCAGAAGTAAAACATCAAAAGATAAAGTTCAAAGAAACTTAGCCACAAATAATATAGTACAGACAATACGCTTCAAATTCCACTACATACTTACGTATTGTACTATTTTGTCTACCACGGGGAAATGCTACCGTTAATGTAGCTGACAAGTGAAAATGATGTTTCTACCACCAACGCTATGTTTTTCAAGTCTATGTAAAGATACTTCAACAACATTTAAATATTGACAAATTACTCAACATTATCAAGCTTAAATCAAAGTGCTGAAATATTGAAAAGCTACAAGAGAAAAGAAGAATCACTATTCAAATATCTATTCAAATATTCTTCTAGAGAAATATCAAGAACACAAGAGTTATTGATCATTATTGTGTTAAGATATTAGAGATTAAACACAAAGAGTTGTTACTCATTATTTGTGTTTATCTTAGAGTTCTCAATACAAAGAGTTGTTGCTCATTATTTATATTAGAGACTTTGCATTTCATTGTTGTGTTAATCTTATTTTTAGAAGCAAACATTGTAAACACAATTGATTATAATTCTGTCTAGAATTAATTATTGCCTCAAGTGACTAGTTGTTAGTCTGTAGACTTGAGATGGATAAGGTGTCTGCTGAGACTCTTAGATGATTGTTGTTAGTCACCGACAGGTAGCCCGTGCATATGTAATCGTTGAGATTAGTGGATTAAGTCCTTGTTGAAGGAGAAATCACCTGAGGAGGGTGGATAGGAGTAACCTTGTTGAAGGTTAACCTGGATAAACCAAAGAGTCATTTTCATTCTTTCTTTAGTTATATTCTTTTTATTTAGTTTGCAAAATATTTTTAAAAGAAAAAATTATTAAAAAACTCAATTCAACTCCCCCACCATTTCTTGTATTTTTCTCATCCTTCAAACCTTTGAGTTTGTTCAAAATTAAATTTGCCCTAATTTCATTCTAAGTCCATCATCATATTTGTGATTTTCCATCCAATTCATATACTATATGCATTCTTTGCTTTATTTAGAGGTCAAAATAAAAGTCAACTATAATATTGCATTGAGCTAAAAGCAAAATTTCAAATTCATTTAGGTATTTACATTTATTATGTGCATCTTTACACTACATAAAATTTAACTCGTGATCATAAGTACATTCTTCCATTCATTATTCAACAGTTCAAGTGAAAAAAGAGCAAAATATAAATATTATTCTCTCCATTTCAAAATGACCGTCGTTTTAGCAAATAATTTTTTTTTTAAAATGACTATCACTTTCACTTTTCAATGTAGTAATGATTATTATTTTTTCAATTATGCCCTTTACTTTTTACTCTCCACTACTTTCAATATATTAATAGGGTTAATTTTTAAAAGTATAATATCTTATGACAACATCATTGCATTCCTTAATTTGTGTACAAAAACCTTAAACGACAATCATTTTGAACGGAGGGAGTATATTATAAGACAAAATTCATTATGTCACAAGTTTCTAGTTATCTTTCATTATGATTCAATCATACATCCATGCCCAACAAGAGAGTCAGGCTAGAGTAAAACAAAATTTGAATTTCATAGCATCATCCATTATTCATTAATCATCTCCATGAGTTCAAAAGAATCAAATACAAGTGAAATAAATTTGAATGAGAAAAGTTTGAATTCCATAATACACCATACATCACAATTACACAAGTTTGGATTCATTACATATCATGATCATCCCATTACAATATGGATTATACAAACTTGAATCCATGGCGATGTATCATACACCATGTTCATCACCTCACGTTTGAAAGTCAAAAGAGAAAATTGAATTGATAAAAGGTTGAATTTCATTTTCATCACATTGCATACACCCATACATGGTAAGTTCAAAACAAATTGAAAAGTTACATAAGAATGGAATTTAAATTACAACCACATGATCATATCATCATCATATATCTATGTCATGCATCAAGAGAAAAATAAATGAATTCAAAATAGGCATTGTAACAGAATTTTGGAGCTGCTTCCATTTTATTCATCAAATTACAGAATTTTCGAATTGCATTACATGTACACACATCACAACATGAGAGAAGTAAAGGAAGAAGCAGAGAAAAGAAAGTTCAGAGTACCTGAAAACTCGATTTCCCCGGAGGTTGGAACTCTTCACCCGAACTCCAATTTGGTATCTTCGTAGTTCCCCTTTTTGGTTTTACTCTTGATTCTTGTAGATATGCGTGATAGGATACTTATCCCTAAATCAATTTTCTTTATATGTGTTCGATTTGTGTAGATCAGACATGTTAAGGGTTTAGGGTTCGTACGACTGGCCTTGATTTTCGTTTGATTCATGTTTTGTTTGTTGTTTTCGGCTTTGGATTCGTGTTTAGAATCTGATTTTAGTTGGGGTTATTGTTGTTTGTTTTTGGATTTGGCCCTGTTTGAATTTTTTCTGGGTTTGGACTTGAGAACACTCATGGTGTTTTTTGGGTTGAGAAAATTCATGATTTTCTGGAGAGAAAAAAACAGGCTTGTTTGATCTTAGAAAGTTGGAAAATGACGTTTGGTTGGTGTTTTTAGAGAGAGCATGTATGAGCAAGGAGAGAGAAAGATTTTTCAAAAATGAGAGAAATCCTTTTGATTCCCTTCTTTTGTTCAAGTGAGGAACATCATGTGGAGGGACGTGCGGCACCCTTTATGCCTTTGTGTCGTTAAAAATATCTGAGTGTACCGCACGTTCTAAATATAACATAATCCCCACCAAATTTTATTTATTTTAATATAAAAGGAAAAATATCAATAAAGCTCACGAAATAAAAGAAAAATGATCATCACAATCAAATTAGGGATCGGAAGCCGGTTATGCAAGAAAAATGTATTAGTACCCCTCACTTCCATTGTACTCAACGAGATCCATTTAGTTAATTTTTTTGAAAGAAATGTTAGTTTATGTTACTTGTGATTTTCTACTTATTATGCAAAAAGAGAGAAAGAAAAATGTTTTTTGTATTTTTATTATTGTGTCTAACAATACTTTGGGTCTCGCTCCTACGTATCTTCGGATACAATGGAGAACTCGAGGCTACTTAGTTCTGGATCGGTCAATTTTAGTGAAAGATTCTCAAGTCGCATTCAAACAGAAAATATTATTGTCCAAAACATGGATAATTGAACATTTGCACCACTTCAAGAATGGATGACTTAATCTAGATCAACACATATTTATTTCATCCTCACATTTGAGCGAAAAAAGTTTGATTTCACATGTGGAAGCATTATTTGCATCATCGTGTAATGGACGAAGCGTCTTTCGTTTATAAAAATAGTTTTGAATTTGAAAGCCAAAAGGCAAAAGGTTTGAATGAGTTAAGATTGACTTTATGAGGGAGACGAGCATCGAACCACAAGCTAAGTACGATTAACAATTCACGTGCTCGGGAAACATAAAGGATAAGTACGTCCAAATCATTTCTTTTTCATCCAAAACAATTTTTAGGTAAATTGTGAGGCGAGTTTAATCGTAAGTACTTAGTAGGAGATAAGCATCTAACCACAAGTTAAGTACAACTAGCAATCATAATACTCGGAAAGCGGAAATGATATGCACGTCTGAACCACGAAAATGATAAGTACGTCCAAAACATTCCTTTTTCAACCGGTTTTTATTATGAAAAGATTTTGAAAAGGTGACTTGATGTTGGATCAAGGTTTGACTATGAAATTATTTGAATAAACAGAGAAAATATATTTGACGTTGGATTAAGCGTTTGCGATGTGTTTGATTGAGTTTGAATCGGGAAAGAACTAGACGTTGAATCAAGCGTTTTTATTTTGAAAATATTGATTTTAAGTTTAGTCAACCATTTAATTAATTCAATTAGGAATTAACTAATCAACTAATTAACTAATTAAAATAAAAAATAAAAAGGACAAGTAAAGTTATTACACAATCATGGAGATGGAGTTATATTTGTTCATTGAGAAATTATACAAATGAAATGAATAAAATAAAATAAGAGATAAAATGCAAACAAACCAATCAAAGAAAATGAGATAACATAAACATGATGTGAGTTGTTTAATCCAACCAAATAAGTCGAATTAACCAATTGAAATAACTTCAATGAATTAATCTAGTTGATTAAAAACGATTAATAAAATTAACCAATTGAAATAATTTTAATCAACTAATTAGATTAATAACAATGAACAAAATTAATCAACTAGATGGATAGCATGGCCAAGACATTAGAAGAGAATTAGTTCCGCTTCTGCGCTACACAAGTTCTGTTGAACAATAGCAAGACACTCCAAAAGGCTCTGAAGTGTAAGTTCTGATATTTGTCTAAAGAAACTAGTTAGAAGATCTGAAGATAGAAGTTTCTACTTACATCCAGATGTTGAAGACTCAAGCTTTAAAGACAACATGTTCTAAGGAAACAGTCAGAAGATCTGAAGATAGAAGTTGTCACTTAAGTCCAGATGTTGAAGACTCATGTTTCTAAAAGACAGAGTGTTTCAAAGAAACAAAGAGAAGATCTAAAGACAAAGTTTCTACCGAAGTTCAGATGCTAAAAACTTAGTTTCTAAAAGACAACTTGCTTCAAAGAAGACAAAGTTAAAAGATATGAAGACAATGTTTCTAACTGAAGTTCAGATGCTGAAGACTTTTTTTTTCTAATAAAAAAGTTCTAAAGACAAGGATTCTTAAAGAACCAAGTGCTAAAGATTCTAAAGATAGAAGGTCTGAAGATTCCAAAGACTTGAAGTTCTAAATATCCAAGGTTATCTACAATGGGTTCTCAAGACCAAGTGCTGAAGAATCTAAAGATGCAACTCTTAAGACTCTGAAGACTTGAAGCTCTTCTGATCCAAGGTTCACTATAATGGATTCTCATGACCAAGTTCTAAAGACTCCGAAGACGCAGTTCTGAAGACTCTGAAGACTTAAAGTTCTGAAGACCTTATGTTATGTTCCCAATTATAACCTCATGCTCACAAAGGCCTATTAAGTGCAGAAGGAAAAAATATAACGGTAACATGGTACAATAGTACACATTACGAAAAAAACTTCATTCCACTACCTCTCCACTAACTTGAAGTGTGGAAGAGATAACGACGTAGCAGTACTATTTGTAATAACTCTTTTTTAAATAGTCAACGACTCTATTTTTCTTGGCTATATAAGAAAAGAATCGTATGTTTAAACATGTTGGTTAGTTGGTTGCTTGTCACTTAATGCTGAAAGATGCTAGTCAGCTGATTATTGTTGGAAGCTGCATTATGCTGAATAAGAAGAACGTTGTTGGTGTTAAATGAAAGTCGTCATTATTGGAACACAACCAAAAAGTTATCATCCACTATAACAACAACAACAATTCTACAAGATGTCATTCAAATCACCAATCATATACATCTTGGCGGAATTATGAAAAATCAAGGAGTTGTTGCTCATATCTTGCTTAATGAAGAAAGAAAATAAAGATGAAGAATTCTACAAGATTTCATTCAAATCATCAATCATATACACCTTGATAGAATTATGAAGAAGTAAGGAGTTGTTTCCCATAGCTTGCTCAACAGTGAAGATGAAGACAAGAAGACTACAAGGTGTTGCACTTAATTTAGATTATATTCATCTTTGTAGAAAAATGTAAAACACAAGAGTTGTTGCTCTGATTGTGTTATTGCTTAAGATCTTCATGTAAATTGTTTTTACATAAGAGTTGTTACTCAGAATTGTGTCAAACAATATGTACTTAAATTAGGAGTAATCTGCTTGATAAGAAGCACTCATGTAATCTCCAAAAAAACAATTCCATAGAATTGGTTGGTTCCTCAAGTGATCAAGTGAAGATCAGAAGACTTGATAAGACTTTGGCTGCATCCATCATAGATGAAATCCTGGTAGTGGATTCTATTGGGTCAATGGTATTCAAATCTCAAAGGAGACTGAGTGAAGGTTAGCTTTGTAAGATCGCTGATGGATATCATTGGAAGGAAATCATAGTAAGAGATTCTGGTGAATCAAATTTTATTGGATCAATAAACGTTATATCCGGTTTGGATCCCTGAACGCGTTATTAGATGTTAGTCACCAGAGGTTTCCCGTGTGATTATAATCAGATTGGTTATAGTGAATTAAGTCCTTGAGTTCAAGGCGAAATCACATCGGAAGGGTGGACTGGACTAGCTTGGAGATTTCTCAAGTGAACCACGATATATCGCGTGTTCTTTACTTTTGTTTATGATTTAGAGTTTATGTTTTCTTAACTTAATAAGAATAATTACTTAGTAACATTCAGAAGCATTGTTCATCGAACAATGCTTAGAACAAAAATTATTCAAGAAAGGAAAATCCAATTCAAATCCCCCTTTCTTGCATTTTCTTCACACCTTCAAGCTTAAGAAATAATTATCCATTTTATATGAAGAAAATTTTATTCTTAAGAATGACAACTATGCCCTTAAAAGCAAGAGCTCAAAACTTGAGGAAGAAATTCTTTCAGAAGATTCTATAGATTTTGAGAATGTCATAAAGAACTATGACAAATCTTTTCAGACATTTTTCGGCTAAAAACATATATAGAAGTAAGGTGGTTTCAATGATCCATGGAGTTAGAAGAAATGGAAGAATAAGTGTTTGTTATGTGCCTAAAGAAAAACCTATTTCAAAACTTAAGGCAAAACCAAAAGCTCTTTTTTCATGTTTCTCTTATGCATATAGACAATATAATTATTCTGCATAGAAACCCAAGTTTGTTAAGAACTCTGGGAAAACTAACCAGAAAGGACCCAAAATGATATGTGTACCTAAGGATAAGATAATATATGTTGCATACATCCTTAGCAGTCAAGTTAAAACACTGATCATGGTACTTGGACTCTGGTTGCTCACGATATATAACGGGAAGAAGACATATGTTCAAAAGCTTGTAACATAAGTCTGGTGGCTTCATGGGTTTGAGAGGTGATTAGAAAGGAAAGATCTTAGGCTCCAGAATAGTTGGTAACGATTTATATATATATATATATATATATATATATATATATATATATATATATATATATATATATATATATATATATATATATATATATATATATATATATATATATATATATATATATATATATATATATATATATATATATATTCTATTACTAATGTTTTACTTATTGAAGGATTAATGCATAATTTATTGTCCATAAGTCAGTTAAGTGACAATGATTATGATATTATTTTTAATCAAAATTCCTATAAATATGTTAGTTAGAAATATGACTCCATTATTTTTAATGGAAAGAGGAAGAATAACATTTATAAAATTATAATGTCTGATTTAAAAGATCAAAATGTTAAATTCCTCATGTATGTTAATGAAGAGCAATGAATATAGCATAGACGATTGAGCCATGTGAGCATGAGAAAAATTTCTTTGTGAAGCATGTTAGAAAGGCAAGTTTTCAAAAACTTCTTTCAAAGAAAATAATGTCATTTCTACCTCTAGGCCTTTGGAACTCTTTCACATAGACATGAGTAGTTTTATAGCCTAGCGAGCCTGGGCACGCGCTCGGGCTCAACCCATATTTTCTTTGTATTCCCCCAACTTATAGCCGATTTTTAGACAAAACCAGAGACAGAATTAGTAAAAACAGGGTGTGAAAAATAAAATATTAATGACTATTTAT